GCGCCGGCGAGGCCGGGCCGCGCGGCGGCGGTCCCGTCTTGGTGCGCGGCCCCGCGCGCTCCCGGCGCCCCTGTCCGCGCGGGAGGAGCCGCCGCGCCGCCCCGCTCGGAAACGGCGGGGAACTGAGGCAGGGAGACGTCCCGTCCCCCGGCTGCCTGGGAGCACTGGGGCGAGTGGGGCAGTGTGGGGGTCCCCGCGCCTCGCGGGCAGCTCCGCGGGGTGCGGGGACAGCGCTCCCTGACACAGGAGACAGCCCTGGCCGGGGCCCCGGGCCCCTCGGGGGCTGTAGGGCAGGGGTGCGGGCTGCACCCCAGCGCCCAGCACCCMAGTGCGGGCTGCACCCCAGTATCCGGCACAAGTGACTATGTGCCATCCTAGGGGGTCTGTGCCTCCTAGTGCTTCCTGGATGCTGCTGGAAGAGGAACCAAAGCAGGATCTGCCTGATAGCCAGTGATGCAGACCCACCGTTTAGCTTGGTAGCTGCCAAGTTAGATCTTGCAAAAGGCGCCAGAACCCAAGAGTTTGGCACTGTGGGAGATTCTCGGCCTCATCCAGAYGGGTGGCAAATGAGAGAGAGGGCCGCACCGGGCATGTTTGGGAATCTCCAGTAGGGATTTCTAGCCCATGCTACCACGAAGAACCAAACCAATTACAGGATGGAACCAGAGTGCTCCAGTATTCRGGGTCTTTCTGATCATATGCACATAGCCTGCTGCAGGAAACAGGCCTTTGTGCTGGAGTCCTAGGCTGGAAGCATCCAGCCTAGGACTCTTTGCTTCTTTTCTCTGTTGAACTCTGTCAATTAATTTGCCTGGAGCCTGGAAGTTACCAGAGAGACTTAGTAATGACTGGCTGYGTCGCCACTGGTGATCCTCTCTCTGTATTTCATAGTCACATTTCTCTATTTTTATCCCTGTCAAAATAAACAGGGCTGTGTTTCACATTCCCATGAAATCTTTGAAATTAATCACACAGTTTTCAAAAGTTTCTGTGTTCCAGGAAGAAAAATGCCAGCAAGTTAAATGCTTTGGCCTTGCTTCTCTTGGCTGGTAACTTACAGTGCTAAAAGTGAGACAGCAGCATGCCTGTGTGATGGAAATAAGTTTCTCTAGTTCATGTGACATTCCCTAAGGGGACACTTGCAAAGAGTGCCTGTAAATGAGCGAGGGCTCCAAAATAAGGAGTCTTTGAAGCTCTGTAGGAATCTTAAATCTGAGGTACTGCTGAAGTGTTATGAAAACCAGATATTTAAATAGCAAAACTCRAGCTGAAGTGATTTTTCTTCCTCCCATATGTTAGTCCATCCTTCTCTCTTTATAGGTGCTTCACTCAGTGCTGTTAGTTCTCAGAGGATAAGAGGACATCAAGTCTGACCAGTTTTGGTGGGAGCTCGATCTGACTCTCAACAGTCTGAGTGTTAGAGGCAGCTCATGCCTCTGCCTCCTAAGAGAAGARAGGTCTTTTAAGGGGACGAATGATACAGGCTGAGCCCAAAACATTCAGATAAAGAAACGCTMCCTCTCTTCATTGTACAGGCAGATTTTTGTACGAGTAATGGGACTTCAGAGCTTGCTGACTCTTATTACTGGTGCACTCCATGGCCTCGAATGACTCTGGATTGGGCTCATGTGTCAGGGAGTATCTCATTATCCTGGGCCTGGCCTAGCCCGGGGTTTGCAGTCTCCTTGGGTGCTGCCGTGGGCTCGCGGGTGCTGCCGCAGCCGGAACCGGCGCTTCTGCCTGCTCTCCGACAGGACCTTGGAGTGTTCTGTCCGTGTTGGTTTTTAAATAAGCTCGTCAATACCTGCAGGTTTCTTGGTTGAGTGAATAAAACAGGCTGGTTCTGCCTGTTAATTTCTTCAGGCTGTGAGTTTAGAAAATCTCAAGCAGCGAACCGTGCTGCTATGAACAAAGATCCTAATTCTTTCCTTTCCTTAGTAGCAAATTGGTGTTAGCAGCAGCCTTGCTATGCACAACGGCTACGTSCTTGCCCCGTGGTTTAATGGTGTGTGTTTCGTGGTGCTGTCTGCTCATTTTTTTCGATCAGCCTCTGTACTACTGAAGTTGCATATTTGCAAACATGGCATGTTTGCTTGGAGCTCTCTCAAACAATGTGTAAAATKCTATCAGACCAACATGTTACTGGCCTCCAGGGCTGTCTGAAACCCTGGTCTGAGCTATTTAAGACTTCTTGCTTAGCAGGATATAAAAGAACTAAACATGCATATGTGTTCCTTGGCATGCTTCGATGTACTGAGTATCTGGCTTTGTCACGAACATGAGAGATCACTGTCTTCACCTCTCTTTGGTAGGATTAGCCCTCTCCCACAAAAGAAAACCCCAGAAAAACAAAAGAATTGGATGGAGTTCTGACTGCTTAGGTCACGGGGGCAGCAAATGGGTTCTGTGGTCTGTTTGGCCGCAGGTGATCTCCCAGAACTCGATCTGAATCCGTGTGAGTGTTTGAATTTAACTGTTTTCCTACAGCATCACTTAATCAAATCTCTGCATGTTCTGCTCCCCACRGACTGAGATGTCCATTCAGCATCTAGAAGCAGCAAGCTGGCTAGAGCAGCAAAGCTAATTGTTAGGAGAGCATCATCATCATTAGCTTATTGGAAGTGAGCACATTTTTAAATATCTGTTTTCTATGTCAGCAAAATAACAGGATAAACAGTATAATCAGACAGGTCCTAGCGCAGCATTTTCTGGCTTTTCTATTTGAGATGTAGGTTGAGGATCCTCTCTTTAAACTTGGCTTGTAGATGTTTGAGATTCCAGGATACTTTGGAAAGCAAAACCGAAACAGTACTGATGTGCAGAAGCAAAGATCTGATCAAAATGGAGCTTGTGACCTGTGCTTCAAGGTGATGCTGAGGGAATGGAGGACTCGAATCCTTTCTGACTACCCGTTGCATTGCAGGCAGTTTCTTGGCCTGGTGGTTTCCTAAGCACTCTTGACATGTGCTTGCCTATTCTGTATTGCCAATAGAGTTCAGTCCAATAAATGATTTCATCGATGGTCATTTTTACCCTTAGTTGTCCTATATGCTGCCTCTCTTTCATAAATCTGTGTGCAGYGGTGGCTTTCTGCAATCCCCTCTGTTGAGGATTTCTTCCTGCCATCTGCGAATGCCAGACTGGCTGGAATCTGCTTATGCCGGAGCCCGCAGAGCCGCGGCCGCTTCCCTCGCGCAGCGGAGCTGGCCCTGGCTGCTGCTGCACGGCCCTCGGCTGCACGCTGGCCCCGGGGCTGCTGCTGCTCCTGCCCTTGGGAGTTTTCCTGCCCTTACAAGTGCTCGCAGTCCTGTACTGCAGTGGTGTGTGGAGAGTCCTGTTTTCTTAGTGGTGTTGAATGCATGTGTGTGCTTACGTATGATTTGGAGTGATGGGGAGGTGGCCATCACACGTAAACTCATTGCTTAGGAGGCCTGAAGCCCGTCTCTGAGGCTGTGAAAAGAGAGACCAAAAGAATAAAATAAACTGTSTTTAAAACTGTTGACTTATAAATTGCTGCTGTTGCATTCAACAGTTAATCTATAAAAAGCTCTCTCTTGGTCTGCCTGAGTTCTTGTCTTGTGCAGTTTTGGGTGTATATATGGTCATGCGCAGGTATGACTGCCCTGTTCATAAGGATGTGTTTAAGTCATGGTCTCAACACTGGAGGTGCTTCTCTCTGTGGCTTTAACATCTGTTTACCTGCATGAATTTTATTTGTGTGTGAAAAATGTTATTTGAGATGGAGACTTATTGCTTCTTTGTGGTACTCTATGTTAAGATTGTGAAGAATACATATGTATTTTTGGAGGGAGTATTGTGGGGTAGAAAAGAAAGAAACATTACTGAAAAGTCGCTAGTGGGCAGTGTGTCCCTTGAGGGCTCGCACCCAGGGTACAGCCCATGTATTCTCTTACCAGTCACTGTCTCATGCATTTGTCTCTGGGGCAGTTCTGCTTAGACTTATACACAAAAACTTCAGACCTGTTTCTGGTTAGTTGTACGTTTAATAAGGATAAGAAGCTCTTGAAGGATTAGCAGGAATATGGAATATATATCACAAACCCAGTGATCTATTTAAAACTAGATTACTCTGATACTACAAGTGGCGTGTGGTGGTATGGGTCTGCTTCCTTCTCCTCAAGGAGTTATTTTGCCTTCAGTTTCTACTGCCACTGGAGCGTTGCTTTGCAATGACTGTGGGAAAGACACTGAATTTCTGCTCTGATCTTATCCATAAAATACAAGGTCCTTGGTACTCTCCCACCCTTTTCTCCAGGACCTCTGTTTTTGAGAGGTGTTTCCTTTCTTTAGGATGAGCTAAGTTAGCAGCCTTAACTGTCAGCCATTGCAAGGTGAACAGGGGTTATCAGGTTCTCACGTGTGCTGTGGAGCTGCTTGTCCTGCTAGCCATCTGAAAAGAGATACGTGACACTGTTTTTTTATTTTCAGTAGTGTTTTTACTGCTAACCTGTTTTAGACAAGTGAGGCTATAGGTGGAAGTTGTCTCTTCCTCCTCTTCCTGTGTTTTTCCTGGCAGTTCAGTCTGGCAGCTGAGATGTGGAGGGGAGAGGGTTAGGGCCTGAATCCATGAAGCTTTTCTGTACAGCTGGGTTTGCAGCAGGAGGGGCCTGGGCACCTCGCCTGTTCTCCTGGGGGGCAGCAGCGCAGCCCTGGGAGCCCTTGCACGGTCCCTGCTGTGACACCCTGCAGAGCCGCGTGCCGGGGAGCTTGGGCTCAGGCCTCGCTGCCRCAGCTGCCGCCGGCGGGAGGATGCAGGAGGGCACGGCTCAGCACTACCTGCGTACGGCGACGGCTGTAAAAATGACGTGACAGTTTTAATGTGTTATTCCAATGTGATCTGGGTGTCTCGGAGAGCCAGAGGTGTCAGGAATGGACTCTGCAACCTCTAAGATATGGTTAGAGATGAGAATGAAAGATGGAGGAGAAACAAAGGACATTTCTCTGGTTGCAAAACCCGGACTTGTGTACTATTCACAGCGTCAACTTTCACATGGGTAGGGTTTTTTTTTTTCCCCCTGTGGTATAGTAGCCCCTAATAAATTGTTTGTAGTGCAGTCTCTTGGCACAGTGAGCCAAGAGGCCTAGGGGAGGGGGATGTGCTGGGCAGTCTGTGGGCTGCTGGAGAGAGCTGCTCGCAGCGTTACAGGACTTTGATCTGCTTCTTGGCACTCAGACTGTTAAAATGGAAGAAGACCTTGAAAACTCATTCTAGGCTCGTCCTTGATAGCAAAGTTAAAACCCAACTAATTTAAAGTGGGGGCTGTATTAGGAAAACAAAGCATGTGAAAACTCAATTATCTAGCCTGCTCTTGAGGAGTTACTCCTGCTCTGCTGGGTGGTGCCATTAGGGGAAGGTGTTGGGGTCACAGTCAGGTCTTAACTGAGCTGGCAAGTAATTCTGATTTGCTCTAACCTCATTACTGCAGAGATTCTTTGAAGGTTGATGCCTCCGTGAAATCAGTGCCTCTGTATGAGGTGCTGGGTTACTGAGCCAGAAGAATTCTTATTAGCTGAAGCGTGTCCATCATCACACCCAGGACTGCAGTGTARCGTTCCAGGCTAGTGTCTGGCCTAGGAGGATTGGGTGGCCTTAGTTAATTTAAGCCCCGGAAATCTTGCAGCCATCTTCATTCTGGAAATTGCCTCTGATCTCCTCGTGCCACTGGAGTAGTGCTCCAGAGTGTACTGTATGCATGAAGCTCCTTCAAACACTTGCTGTAAAAAAAAAAAAAGTGCTATTAGGAGTGTGCTAGTAAGTATCCAGGTGGTGTTAATTCTCTTGAAACTGCTGGCAGCTGTGGGGAGCTCAGTGAAAGCTGCCGTGGTGGAGGAGGCAGAAGCCCAYGCTGAGCACCTGAGAAAGCTGCATCCCCGTGGGCAGTGCTCGAGTGCACTGTGCTCTCAGCAAGGCTGACCTGCCACGTATTTGTAGTGGGCCCAGGATAGTCACCATCACCCAGATGTAGTGGAAGGGCAGTCGCCCAGTACAGTGAGTAAAGCACAGGGTTGTCCCCTCAGCTAATCAGTAACTGCTTTTCTAAAAAGCAGGAGTTGTCTTGGCCTTGTAAAGCTGGAAATCTAAAAACATCTCTGGGTGAAGGGGAGGCTGAAGTAGAAAGCTAACGCTAATTACTGATCTAAAACAATCATAGTGATTGTGAAACATTCCTGAGCATTAAAGGAACATTATTGCCTACCCATAGAGACAGCTCCACAATAGGGAGAGACMGCCTGTGAATTGCTGGGTGGGTAATTCCTGCCAACTGCCCTTGGCTCCTGGAGAATGAAGGGCGCTTGACTCTTCTATAGATACCCTGACGCTTGCTTGCCACCTCATTCTCCCCTAAGGCTTTGCACACACACACACTCGCACAAAAAAAAGGAGCATCTGAAGACGCAGAAGTGTCAGCACTGATGCTTTGTCCCTCCCTSCTTACACATCTGAGGAAGAGGAGATCCAATTGAGCCCTCCAGTGTTTCCATACTCTCTAAAGACCAGTCAGCAAATCCCCTCTGGGCAGGAATTGCTGTAATAGTTGAAAAGGAGGGAGGGAAGAGAGATGGAAGAGAGGGGATAGAAGGCTGAAAATTGCCAACCTTTATGCAGAGACTAAGCTTTGCACTCCCTGCAGATGAGACCTGYATATGATCATTGCAGCACTTCATTTCTGTATGCCCTTGTCCCTGCACTGGACTTCTTGCACAGAAGTGTCCTGTTGGTAAACCCAATGGTTAAATATTTACAACTTGAGACCTTGATACTTGGTATCTTTCTATTTAAAAGACTGCAGCACTCCGCTAGGGCRGAGGTCTCCTGAGGGAGTTTTTGTTGTGGGAAGTCAAGGTTCAAGGAGGTGTCTGTCTAATGCACCCTGAACTAATTTGGAACTCAAGTTGGCAATTAGGTGCTGAGAACTCTTAAAAGAAGAGGCTTGTTGGTACAATTGCACTGCTGTGTTACTTATGCAGCTGATGTGCTATAACCACACACAAAAACATCACACCAAAGGAGTGATGTCAARTCTGGAAGATGTTTAAAAGTCCAACTTCTTGGCTGGAAGGTGGCAGAGGAAGGCTCAGGACAGCAAGTCCAGCAGCATTTGAAGCAGCAGCACTTTGTCACTCTGCAACCCGTGCCCTGCATTAGAGCAGCTGCCTGGGGAGGCTGTGACCTGCTCTGCGCTGTCTGCAGATGAAGATGATAATGAAACATGATGAACATGGTAACTAAACATGATGTTTAGAGTGGAGGAAAGCAAGGTGTAATTTTTAAAGTAGAAGGTATGTTGGAAATGCTCTCAGGTACAGATAAGCCCCCAGGACAATGGCATTGCTTCTGTTCTGCATGCTGCTTGCTTCCTCACTTGGTGCAAGTGGAAGAGGAAGGTGTAAAACTTACTATAAAAACATCCTGGTCTCTTAATTTACATTTACAAAATGATGCAGACTTTCACTTAGTCTAGGGTGATTTCTCCTTAATTTTGTTTTACATACCTTGTTTAATGTTTCCACAGAATTGGTGTTGTTTCCTCATTACTCTTTCATTTAATGCTGTGTGTTGAATCAGTTGCTTTGCTGTGAATTGTATGCGCTTTGGTGGTAGTAGTGATTGTGCCTGAGTAATTTTGGGTCTTTATCACCTCTTTAAAATCTCTATTTTTGAGCCCCGAACTAAAATCTCTATTTTTGAGCCCTGAACTGTCATTAAACTCTCCTGATTTTCCTGCTGGATGGCTCTTGAAGGAAAAATCTAGGTGTGTCACTAGCAGCAACTCTGGCCAAGAACTTAGTTCTGATGACCTAAGAGTGAATGAGAAATCTTTATTTATGTAGTAATGGTGGGGGGCAGAAGAGCTTTACTACTTCTGCGTTACCTTGTCCACATCTTGGCTTATGCCAAACTTAGACTGGTGCTTGGTTTTACTTGATGGTATTTTTCCACTTGTGAGGAGGAGGGGGAATTAACARGCTTCCTACCATGATGATGCAAGTGCTTTTTAAAGAACAAACAAGCAAAGACCCCAACTCTCAGAGAAAAACAAAGTGGTATCACTTTTATCTATCAGTCAGGAGGTGTTCAAGGCAGCCTTGAGTTTTCCTTTTAACTTGTTACTTCTGCACAGGATTCAGAGGTATTTATGTCCATCATCTTTAGACTGCAATACACAAACTTATTCTGCAGAAGATTTGTGTCATAACTTAATTATTTTTATGCTTTCTTTTGCATAATATTTAAGAAAAACAAGAAGAACTCCTACAAAAATTTGTTTAAATTAGCTTGCTTTAAAGTTTGCATGCAGGCAGAGACTTATAAACTTCTAAATGAAAACCACATAGAAGAAAGAGTAGAAACTTTGAACTTTCCATTCTCATGGCAGTCTGGCCAGCTAATGTTTTCTCAGATGTGTTGAGACTTGTCTATATGTGAAGTTAGTCAGAAATGGCTATTCTGTGGTAACCAACAGTCATTCACACTCTTTGGGAATCTGAATTAATTTTTGAGCTTGAACAAGTTGCACGTTTCTGTTTTAAGAGCATTTAAGAAACCCTTTTTTCACCATGTTCTCTYGATTTTTAGCCCAGTTAAGCCGTCTTTTGCACGTGTGCCGTATGTGATGTCCAGAAATAAACCACACCAGTAACTTCCATAGTTCCAGCTAGAGCATGGCAGCAGATAAGCATCTCTGCATCCCTTCCCCAGTAACTGTCTGCTAGCCAGGTACCTGGTGAAATGGTGCCTTGTTGTTAGAAAACCCTCCTCTGTTGGTGCTTAGAAGTTACTGAGTGTTTCGCGCTGCCTCTCCRAACTGGAGTTGCCCTGCCTGGGAGGCACCAGCTGGTGCTGGAGGGCAGGGTATGGGCCAGTATGTGGAGGTAGTTAGAGCTGTGCAGTGAGTTAGTTCTAGCCAGAAAAAAATCAGTTCCTCGGTCTGTATTGCTGAGCACAAGCTTGCTGCTGTGCAAGGATGGGTTAGGGTTAAATTGCTGTCACCCAAGGAAGAGGGGGACTGTCAGCCTGGACAGAGGATCTCTGTGACTCCTGCCTGGTGAATTRGCAGCCCCTCAAGTCCTAGGGAGCCGGGAAGTGTCTTGCAGCAGCTGTGGGGTTAAGGAAAGCCCTGGGCCACAAGCCACTGTGCTGCCTAGCGCTAGGTGGTCACCTTGGRGTGTGTGTTTGTGTGGTGCCTGTGTGTTTAGTAGGACAGGGCAGTTTGCAAGTCTGGTCAGGGAGGATGGAGATGAGGTAGTGAACTGAAACAGTCACCTGCAAGGTGTGCTGCCATTTCCAGACTTGGAGTTCATGCATCTCATCTGCTATCAGATCYACTGTGCTCTTTATTAAATAAGTCTTTTGTGGAAGCTTTATTTGCTCAAACAGAAGGTATATAGATTTGCTGCCCTAGTGCTTCCAATTAGTGAACCTGTGCCTCTAGCTTCCTTCCAGTTGCTTATTGAGCTGGCTGGCTGCTCCACAGCCTCTTTCCTTGCACTGAGCTTGACCTGCTTTCCTTGCACTGGTGGAGAAAGTAGGGCAGACTTCTAACTTTGGATATTATTAGATGGGAAGAAAAAAAGTTATTCTGGATTTTTGTCATCCCCTCTTAAAAGASCTGACCAGTGAAGGAGCATTGCAGGAAGTGGGTGGTGGTGGCAGGAGTCCTGGTCTGCAGGAGTCTGGAGGACAGGCAGGGAGCTCTGGTCCCTGTTTGTAAGAATTAGACTGCAGATTGGAAGGTACAAAGAAAGGCTGCAACTGCTTGTGAAGCACAGCTTGCAACTCGCAGMGTTGCCCAGAAGATCTCTAATGAGGCCCCTGTGTTATGGGGCTGGAGAGACTCTATAGAGTTGGGGAACATAAACAAACTGCTTTGTCTGAGGTTTGGTTATCTTTAACGTAAACAAAAAGCTTAGTTTGTGGATGGTGCTTCCTCTGAGTGGCAGCAACGTCTAGCCCTGCCTTTGTTTCCTGTGTTCTTGGCTCATCACAGGTACTGTTGGCAGAGGTGCCTTTTCAGTATTACCCAAGGAAGAGGCCATTGCTCTTTCCTCAGTCTGTGTAGCTGTGATGTAACAGCATTCAGCCTGAAAACAGCTCGAACCCTTTGCATTTGAAAACTGCTCACTTCCTAATATTGAGTGCTAGTGTTAACCTGTGTTTTAGAGCTGTATCTTTTAGGCCAGCTGATGGCCTTGGTTGCTGAAGGCTAACAGTCCAAACAGGATCCAGGCCTCTTCCTCWGTTCACCTCTTGAAGCACAATTTCCTGGTGGCCTGCATGGGGACTTTGTCCCTACCTTTGTGGGTGGTGGGTGGGTGATGACTCTAGTAGTTGTGAGAATATTGTTCATTAATCAGCTCTCAAATGCCAGATTTACAGTCTGTCATAACAACTGCCTTTAAGGAGCTGATGGGTAACTGCTGCTGTAAAGAATAACCCGAGGTTTTTGTCCTGACCTCTCTCGTATGATCCCTTAAAATAGAACAATGCTGCTCAATCCAGCTTATCACAGCTTTGCAGCTGTATATGAATAACCTGTTTTGTGACATGCATTTTTCCCTCTTCTTAATTTAACCTATAATACTGTTCTTTTTCATTTCTTTCAGAATGGACTGCTGAATTGGGAATTGCTGCAGACCAACAGTGCAGTACTGCTTGCTGCTTCATTTATTACTAGTTATTTAAATTGGACTTTTAATATCCTGCCAGCTGCTCTTCACACACACATGGTGCATTGTTGCCATTCTCAGAATTGCATCTTTGAAATCCAGACCCTCAGTAACCTTCATCGAACAAAGAGGCGACCTCCTGCGTACACTCGTAGAGGGATTTTTTGGACCTGCTGCCCTCTAGCTTTCTTGCTGGTGCTATATTTCTAAGACACTATGGAGCCCAGTATGGAATATTGCTTAGCGCAGGTGCTGCAGAAGGACGTCGGAAAGAGACTTCAAGTTGGCCAGGAATTAATAGATTACTTCTCAGATAAACAGAAATCAACTGATCTTGAACATGATCAGACTATGCTGGATAAAATGGTTGATGGACTGGCTACTTCCTGGGTAAACTCCAGCAACTATAAGGTAAGGCTTCCCAGGTGGAATGTGATTAGTTAGATGGTTTGTTGTTAAGTTAGACTTGATCTARATGAAAGTTTTATGGTAGACTTTCTAACATGCTGTCTGTAAAATGATAATTATCCTGAATCAACCATTTGTATCCAATTTCTTGGTAAATAGTAGGTAGCTGATGTGATTTTGAGGACTCATGGCGGTAAGGCCTTAGCAAGTGAGAATTTAATAAATGAATTYGTATTTGGTATTCATGCTTTTGATACCCTGATTTTTTTTTCATACTTTGTTTGCCTGTGGGATGCTTTGATCATCCCAGCAGTTGGCAAGGCGGAGGAAAGTTTATGTTAAAGGAAAAAAAAAGGGGGGGGGAGGAGAGTTCTAAAGCTGCCAAAAAAATGTCTGTATGTGTGCATATGTGTATGCTCATAAGCATATACACTGCCAGTATCTCTTTAGTGTCACTGATTCTTGGTAGATTTTTTCTAAATTCTGGTGGCAATTAAAGTACAATTTATTGTTCTGTTACAACTGGCTCAGAAAAGCTAATGAGCATGTGTTTTCCTTTGGATTTGATGATTTTTCATGAGCAGAGATGAGTGAGATGATGAACTAAAACCCTTGTTAACCCTGTAGTGTTTTTTTTTTCCATTTCCCCTGTGTGTTTATGAAGAAGTGCTGTTATTTTTATGTACTCTGGTTTCTTCATTAGGGAGAATTTCTTAGGTGCACTTTGGAAAAATGCCTGGCCTTGTCCTTTCCTGACGCACACTAAGGCAAGCTGGGTACCTAAGCTGTTGCTTAGGCAGAACTAGGGGATTTTGTTCCTATCTCATGAGTCTGGGAAAATCTGAGGTAAAACCTCCTACAGATCGAAGCGTGAAGCTAATTAACCTTGTGTTGTGCTGTGGAGCACAGCTGTTAACTGGAGTTGATTCCTGTGGAAGTGGAGAGTAGTGTATAGGTTGCTTGTGATCCAGAGTTCAGCATATTCAGATTCATTTAAACTATGTGKTTTTTTTTAATAGAAATTTAGTTTGTAACCAGAATGCAGTGTATTSGTTTGTGTCTTCTGTGCAGATGCAGTTTTACTCTTCATATCAACAAGCAACTGCAGGGGAACCAAAAAAGGCAAAAGCCAGTACAGGCTTTGAGTGAAACCTTTGAGTGAGACAGGCTGAGCGCCCTGAGCCTGGTGCAGGGACCCTGCTTTGGTATCAGACCAGGACTTAGTGCTGTCACATGCCAGTGTCCATGTTGTTTTAGTGACGATGTCTGTAATGTTGTCACCTTTCCTGACTGCTTGTGGGGGGTTGTGGAGACTCGGATGTGCCTGGTGTTGGTGAGAATCGGGTAGCTGATGCGATCTGATCGAGTTCATGGATTAGCGTTACAGCCCGGAGAGCGAAAGGCCAAACCTTGCTGCCCTAGAATGGCCATCTGGAGAACTAAACTCCAGTTGTTTGGTCACGGTTGAAAAAGCTATTATATTTGCAGTCTGTCATTCCCTTGATCTGGAAAAAAAAAAAAACCATTTGAAGCAAAGATTGAGGCCATCTGCAAGATTTGAGATTTCTTAAAATTTCAGCGATAAAGGGTGTTCTCTGAAACTTAGCCTGCATTTGGATGACAGACCCATTAGCTTGGGAGAGGGTTCAGTTAATTCATGGCATCTGCCTGCCTGTCTGGGACTGTTTTAGCTGAACAATTGTGCTTATGTTTTCGCTAGGGAAACCTCAGCCAGCTGAAGACAAGTGACTTSTGTGTGTCAGTACTGGTCAGAGTTCGGACCAAAGAGCCCCAGCTGATGATGAAATTATTAGGCTTTTACAAGGAGGATTCAAGCTGTCTGCCTCACTAGAATACAGTTTGAGCTGTGTAGGTCATGACYGTGGCTGGTTAGGTTTTATTTGTTTATGTTTTGGACATTGATTCTATTTTAACATGAGGCTCCTTTGTGAAATCCTTACCCTTAGCTCTGGGAGGGAGACAATACCATCTTCTGTTTTGGGGGATGCAGTAAAAGGCAGTTGTGGAGAGGGAGGAGATGGTCCTCTTTCCTCGTTGCTGCCCAAGTCTAAGGGCATCACATATGAAACAGGAGAGGGGGACCCAAGACACTTCTGATAGCACCGAACTGTCAAATGCCTTCTACCAGGCAGCCTTGTGACCTGGTCACTTGTCCTTGCTCCATAGTGAGTGGCTGCCTGAGGTACAGAGGATGCCCGGATAATCCAGGATGCTTTTCAAGTAAAGGAAGCACAAGGGATGGGGTCCTGTGCATGGCCCTGTACCTGTCAGGGGCACACTTAGATTGCCCTTAACACGCACTGCCGGGTCTGTATTTCCCCAGTAGTGCCAGGGGACAGAGAAGTGGCAGTCGCCTGTCTTGGAGAGGGTCTAACAGATCCTAGGGCTAAGGGATCTGTGCGCATAGATCCCGACCCGCGGGTGGGTGCTGTGCAYGGCTGCCTGTCCCAGACCTGAGGGTGATGAGCGTTTATGCTTGCAGGGCTCCCAATTTGGTTAATCTAGCTCCTAATTGAGTCTGTTATTTTTTAGGAACATCACACTTCTTGAGACAAAATAAATGGTGAAATATTACAGAGAAATAGTATTTATTCTGACAAAAATTGCTAATTGTGTTGGGGAAAGCAGCCGTGCCCTTCCGTTGATGCCTGAATCTTAGGGAGAGCTTGTTTCACCAAGCTGAAGAGAAATGAAACTTACATGAATTAGATTTGTTTCTTAAAATTTATTCAAAGCACGGTTTGGTTTCTCTAATTGAGCGTTAGAACAGATGGCACAGGCTTAGTTTAAAGTGGTGTCCATTAGAGTGACTTAAGCTGATGAATGGTTGCTCACTCTAAGCATGCATTTGTTCTCTGTGTCGTATTTATTTTGGTTGAAATTCAATGGGAGAAATCCTGATTTAAGATGTAATTATCAGGCATGGTTATGGGTTGATAKGATAATTTGTAAGTGTGTTTTGAGTGTTTAGTATAGGGGGAAAAAAAGACTTCCTTGGGGAGGGAGTGGGAGGCAGATGGTTCCAACCAGCTGCTGCTGTTAGCTGGGGAGTTCTGGGGTGCTGATGGGTGTGTGAAGATTAGCCATACATACAGTTACCACAGTCGCTCCCTGAAAACTTCTTTATTGTGAAGCTGTGTAATTGCTRTTATGAGTGAAGACAAGTTAGTTATTTGATATCCAGGAGACGTGAGAACCGGAGCAYGGAGCGGGAGATGTCTGGAAGTCTTGGCTGAGAGAGCATCTGTTCCGTGCCTGTGCTGATGTCTCAGAGGGATCTTGCCCAAATGGCCTCTGACTGCTGGCATTGCCCAGTTAGAAGGGGTAGAAGCGTCGCTAGACTTGAAACGCATTTGCCGTCTAATGTGCAGACCTTGACTTTAGGCTCCMATGTTGGCGTGCTCCTAATCTCTGGATTTTCCTGCCCTAAGCTACTTTTGGCTCCGGGATATCCAGTTCCTGGAGGCATGGAAATAGTTAATTCCCAGCACACTCCTGGTCCAGCTGGTCAGGCAGTTTTTCTTAGTGAGTCTGGTAGCTCCACCTGCCTTTCCAGTGTTCCCCCTGGGTTTGGGAGCTCGATCCAGTGGTTGTGCTGCGCTTGCCGGGTTGGTGTCAGGTGCCATAGAGGCATGTGCAGAATGGAGCTGGAGCAGACAGGCTAGGCTGAGGTTAGGGTTTGCTTCAGGCCTGTGGATTCAGGAAATGGGAGGGAAAAAATAKCTGTAGAAAAACCATGTTTAGACTTTTTTTAATGCCTTTTGCTTAATGCTTACRGGGTAGCAGTGATTGTCTCTAGCAAGAAGGGTTTTTCCTACTTAGCTGGGAAGAGCTGGAATGGAATGGTAATACTTTTTAGTTGTTTTGTGTATGGTGTGGATGTGCTACAGATGGCATTAAAACACATTTGTGAGCCTGGCTGGCAGCCACCAGCATCTTCTAGCCACTTGCCTGGGTATTATGAAATCAMATATAAGTAGTGAGAGGGCACAGAACCTCGTGTATGAGGAGTAGGGAGCCAATGTTGAAATAAATAGGGTAGAAGTTGATTTGTGCTGTGGCGTCTGTTACGTAGCAGGCTGGGTCAGGCCGAGGGGCTGTCTAGCTCACTATCCCTTCTAGGACAGTGGCCCACGGCTGGTGGTCAGAGAGGGGTAGAAGGATGGAATGCAGAGTAAATGTCTCCCTCGCATATCCTGCTCGTGGTAGGTTTGAGCCAATGGATCTGACTTCTGGCTGAATTGATCTTGTTCCCGTGGGATTTTAGTGCCGATGGCGCTTGGGTTTTGCGCAGGAGAGGACGGGGCAGATGAGCGGGCCCTGCGGGGCTGGGTGGTAGTTTCTGCTGGTGCCTGGGRCTGTGGCCGTCTCTGCGTTGGGAGGCCAGCGAGGCTCTCAACTGGGAGGCTCGTCAGCATAAAACAGCCTGCGCCGGCCTGGGGGCTAGTGAACATCGGGGGTTACTAAATAGAGAGGATAAAGCTATTCCTTTAATGCTGGTGTAGAGTTTCAGTCGTGGCACTGCAGTGCTTGTCAGTTGGGTTTTTTCAGAAGTGCCTTTTGGGACCAGGGCAGTTTGCTGTCCCATGGAAAACCCTGAGGGTCCTGGCTGACTGCAAGGTCTCGGTGCTCACAGCTAAGTGTCAGTGGAAAAGGCAGATTATTGGGGATTTATTCCCTTGGAGATAAGGGTATACTAATGCTATTGTAACAGGCTTTACTGGACACTTTTCAAGAATGTGCTGTACAGTTCTAGTTGCCCATGTCCAAGAAAGAGGAATTCAAGCTGGAACAGGTGCAGGGAAGGGCTAGTGGGGTGTTCAGCGGGTTAGAGAGCCTGGCTGACCAAAGGAGATGAAATGTGTGGCTTGTTTAGGTTGCAGAATGATGGCTGGGAGGGAACACGACTGCCATCTATAAATACATCAGAGGGCTGAGCATCACAGAGCAGCAACAACACTAAGAGCTGAAGGGCAAGGCTG